GGGAACGAGGCTCCTGACAGCCCTCGTGTCAGCCCCGCTGACCCCCGCACAGCTGAGCCCCAGGGCCGGGCTGCCCGGGAAGCGTGGGGCGCTGCTCGCTGTCCAGGGAGGGTCCCTCGGCCCGTGCGATCCCCCGCCTCCTCCGTGCCCCTCCTGGGGCCCCAGGCTCTGCTCTGCTGGCTTCCCTTTCCTTCCCACCCACCTCCGTGCGGGGCTCTCTTTACATCTTTGACTGTGGGACCTTCCTGCCAACGTCCAGTGCGTTCCCATGAGAACTGCTCCATGTGTAGATGTAATTTTGATGTGTTTGTCGGGGAGGCGTGGTTTAACCATTGTCTTACTCTGCCATCTTTGTCTTCTCCTTAAATAGTTGTTTTAAAACTCATTGTGAACTAATTTTAATACCTGTAATTATTCAAGAACAGTTTCTGCCCATTTTTTCTCTTCCTTTCATAGACCATGTTTTCCTCTTCTTTTGTTCCTTCTCTGTTTCCCTCCTTCTTCCTTCCTTCCCTTGTTTGCTCTGTGTGCGTGTGTGTGTTTGTGCGCGCGCACATGCGCATGAGCACACAGAGCTGTTTATAATTGTGCACTTAAAACAGCAGCCAAATACCCACACTTTGCAGATTTGCTCCACATCATAACAGTCCTTTCCTAACTAGGCCAGCGTGCTGCTCGTCCTGGAATCAGCCTACCGTGGAAGCCAAAGGGCTGCTCGGGTCTTCTCTGAGCCTGCATCTTCACTGGCCTGTGTGCCGCTTTTTGATTCCCCTGAATACATGGCTGGTTTTTGAATCCCTTAATATCCCCCATATCCACACCCCAGTTCTACTCAGAGCTTTACACGCTCTAGTCTATGTCTCCCCCCTTAATCCCTTGTCCCTGGCGGCTGTGAGTATATGGCCTCTGTTTAAGCTTAGGTTAGGGTCAGGGGAGACAGACACTAATGTTTAGGTAGCCTCCAAACAGGCTGGAATTTCACAGATAAGTTCTGTTGTCATCACTCTGGTTTTAGGGAGGTGACTGGGAGCAGAGCCGATGGCCTTGGGAGACCAGGGCAGCACTGCGCCAGGCAGGAGAGGGTGTGGGTGAGTAACAGCGCCGTGAAACTCCCTGTCACTCTGTTCTGGAATTTTCCTAACTGGGTGTTTACTTTATTGTTGTAGTTTTTAAACTGTTTTCAAGAGCTCTTACAAAGTTTTATAGCAAGTTCCTGGGTTTTTTCTCATGATTCCCTGGGAGCATCCAGCACTTTCTAGTCACCATTTTACCGACCTGACTCTATATGGTAACCTTTCCGTTGGCTTCACAACATTCCATTGTATCAGTGTGTCATGTTTACTTAAGTGCCTCCCAAATTTATTATAATTTAACTTGTTCACCGGTTTTTCTTTCATGAATAATGCTGAGCAACATAATAAATTATAGAAAATATTTATCATTTACATCATGACCATTTTTGAGAGTTATATAAAAGGTACAATTTATGACTCTCTTTACACACTGCACAGGATATCGAAAACCTGTTAACAATTAACCTACAACGTGCAGTTTGTCAGAATGTCTGCTTTTGTATTTTTATCAGGATTCCACCCCTGTCTGGAAAGTAAAGCAAAGTAATATTTCTGGCGGGAAATGAGAAAAGGAAAATTTATTTTTATTTGTAGTTTTAATTCTTTAGTAAGTGTTAACATTTTCAAAAATGCTAATTAATCCCTCCTTTAAATTGTAGGATTCTGTGCGTGTGTGTGTGAGCATGTACTTTAAAGTAGTTTGTTTGAATTGATGTTTGACCAAAACTTGGCTTCATATTTAATTAAACAAAATAGATTGGTATGTGGAGGTTTCTAGTCTAACAAAAGGTCCATAATTGCCCAGCAAATCTTGTGCAATAATTTGCAATAGTGTAAGTGAATCATTAACTGCAAATTTACTTATTAAAATATGAGGTAAAATATTGCAAGAGATTTGCGATGTATTTATTATTATATAACCCTTGAGATTATACTGATAACAAAGCAAACAAGCCAATTTCATTCGTTTATCACTCCTCGGGTGCTGCTTCCACCTACTCCTCCCACAATGTATTTGCTAGTGATTGGGTGCTGCAGTTCGGGTGGTACCTTCCTGATATTTATAACCTGTGAAGGTAGGAGAAAATAATCATTCTGCTTAGTCAGAGGAGCGACAGGCAATGGACCCCAAACGTCAGTGTCGGGAACTTAATGACGGCCGCTTCATTCCTGTGCTGGGATTTGGGACCTACGCACCTGAAGAGGTAACGGTACTGGTCTTGGGGCTGAGGTTTCCAAAGAAAAGGGAAGGAACGTGAGTGGAAACTGACTTGGGCTGTGAGTTCTTTGAATTCCTGTGTGGCTCTGGGAGGCTCACTGGGTTCTTGTGACCAGGCTGGAACCGACCTCATGATGGGGGGAGATAATCCGCCTTCACTCTGCAGCCTGTCCTGACACTGTGGTCAGCCACTGGTCATTCTGAGCTTCCCTCCAGCTTCTCTGTCGCAGCTTGGCAGATGAGAAGGAACCTAGCTGTCAAAAGACTGTCAGCTGCTTGGCTTTTAGGGTGATTGCAATGGAGCACTTTCTCTGTGTATATCAGCAATTTAAGAAATCTTTTCCCTCCAAAGAGACATGGCCCAGAGGTATATTTGAGGTAAAAAGATTCTGAAGATGAGGTGAATGAAAAATACTGGGAGAGAATTGCTTTTCTGCTGTGGGGTAGCCTGCTGGGTGCAGGTGAGAAATACTCCACTTGTATTTTTCCTTTTACTTCTGTTTCTGCCAGAAAGTTATTCCAGTGGAAAACAGATCACCTGAGGGAATAAGCTACAATCTTACAGTCTAAGTTTCAATTTGTGGGTTTTGTGTATATTATTATTACGGTACAATGTTCAGTGCTTGGGCAAAAGACGGGCAAACTAGACAAGTCACCAGACTGGAAGGCAGAAAGTTGCTGTCTGTCCATTTTGTCTTTAGAGTATTTAGTTGTAGGACAAGGGACTCCAACTTTGAGTCTTACTCTTCTCATCTATAAAACAGAAGGAAATATTCAGACATTTTGGAGACAGAAAACAGGGCTTGTTCACTCTGTAGTACAAAGTGGGATGGGGAATGGGAGTGGTCCAGGCTAGCACTAATGCTCGCCGGCGTGCGTTCCTTGGTCAGTCTCTGAATGCCTGTACATTCAAGGAATGACCATGATTGGAAAGAGCAGAGAGCAGTTAGACCAAGTATTTACTTCCTTGAAAAACAAAGGATTCTGAAATACAGAAAAAGAAAAGCAGTATTATTCAGCCTTTAAAATGAAGTTAATACTGCCATTTGCAACCTCACAGGTGAAGCAGGAAAACATTAAGCTTGGACAAGTAAGCCAGGTAGAGAACGGATTAAGCTGCATGATCTCTTTAAATGTAGCATCTAAAACCATTGATCTCACAGAAGCAGAGAGTAGAGGAGTGGTGACCATGTGCTGGGGACAGGGGCGGGGAAAATGGAAAGATGTTGGTGAAAGGTTTCAAACCTTCAGTTATGAGGTCAATAATGTCTGGAGGCCTAATGTACAGCGTGGTGACTCTAGCACATGATGATGGATTATATTCCTGAGATTTGCTAAAAGAGTTGATCTTAAGTGTTCTCATGACAGACCCCAAAGAGCTAGCTGGGTGGGGTGATGGTTATGTTGACTAGCTTGATTGTGGTGTCATTTCACAATTGACCTGTTCATGAAAACATCAGTTTGTACACCTTGAACAGGTACAGATTTTATTTGGTGCATGCTGTGTGACTACACTGATAGAGGACTCTTCGAAGCTTTCACCTTGTTTCTTGATGCTTTGAAGCATGTACCTTATCCCTCTGCTGTTTTTTGTTGGTAACATCTCACAGTGTAATTCATCTCCATGACTTGAACTTTATCCTGAATCTTTTGGGTTCTTCCAGCAACTCACTGAACAAGAGGGTGATAATGGATACTTCTGATTCCAGTGATCAATAAAAGATTGCCTGGGGTTAAAGGGGTTCCAGGATATCCACCTTAATTACTGACCCCGGAAGTCCAGTGAAGCCATTATGGGCTCAACATCATACATGCAGCATGAATCTAAGGCTTGAAAGAAGTTGATGCTTGGGGAGGTCACAGCTTGTGCCTCATAGTCTCTTAATTGTGCGAATATTGAAGTACAAATTTTGTTACTTATGTAGGTTCCTAAGAGCGAAGCTCTGGAAATCACCAAATTTGCTATAGATGCTGGGTTCCGCCATATTGACTGTGCGTATTTATACCAAAATGAAGAGCAGGTTGGACAGGCCATCCGAAGCAAGATTGCAGACGGCACTGTTAAGAGAGAAGACATATTCTACACTTCAAAGGTGCTGTGTGTGCTGTGTGTGCCCATGTGTGAACTGTGATTGTGCACATGTAACAATTACATAATAGGATCAGTAGTTGTTTGGTGAATTGTTTATTG